AAACGATCCACTCCCGGCAGTGGAGGAGTGCCAAGGCACTCAAGGGTACCATGGACGACTTGGTAGCCGTCCCGGACCACGGGGTCACTGAGTTCCAGTTGGTCCAGTTGTTTTATCGTGCCATTCCAGAGGCCCTACGTGGGCATTTCTTTGACAAATCTCAGCAGGCCGGCATGACTTACGATGCATTGAGTAGAGAAGTCGTCCTGTATGAGTCGAAGTTTATGCCAGTTACCACTTTCTGGCATAAGGACCTGGAGAAGAAGAAAAAGTGGAAAGTTCGTACCATCTCGGGCCAAGTCAAGGCCAAGGATCACTTGATCCTGACATTAGAGGAGGGTGGTACAGAAGAGGTCCCATACGATCAGATTGAGTGGGGCCTAGGGGAGGAGTACAGTAGTAGGGCAGGGGAGGTCTTACGCTGCTGTCGCGGGTGGAGGGAGGCCGCAAGGTAGAGGAGGAGGCCAAGGCCAAAAGGGCCAGGCCATGGGAGGCCGAGGACCGGGCGCGCATGGGGTTGGCGGCCAAGGAAACCGCCAAGCGGGAGGTAGGGGTCAAGGTCCCCCGTCAAATCGCCAAGGTTCATTCCGGTCCCCACAGCGAGGAGTTGGAAGGGCACCTCAAGGTGGATGGCACCCAGGCTTGCCGCAGGGCAGGCCCTGGGAAGATTTGGGCTTGGACCAGCATATATGGCAACAACGCGTGGACCAGGGTCAGTGCGTATTCTGTGGTGACCCGGCGCACGTAATTAAATTTTGTCCAAAGTATAGACAGGCCCGTTGGGCTGCTCAGCAGTCAAAAGGCAGCCACCAGTAGGGGTCGCAACTGCCCCTACTTCCAGGCCATGTGGAGAAGTGAGCGCGCGCGAACAGGACACTCCCAACCCACATGAGCCTATGGCAGAGGTTGCAGGCCCGTGCCTAGATAGCTATCCAGAGACTGCTTGTGTTAGCGTCTCTTTAGGCACATCCCTCACAGGTGTGGTAGAAGAGTTATAGGAGAGGATGCCGGCCTGGGCCAAAATGAAAAGGGAGAGTAAGGGACAACTGATTTTGGTAGATGTAGAGGTGTTCAGGAGTAGAGTAGGGGCCCTTATAGACTTAGGGGCTACCCGTAGTTACATCAGCCGTAGGGCGCTGAAGAAGCTGAGGCTAAGACTAAAGGTCCAAAAGTTAGTAGACCCCATAGTCAGTGTCCTCGCGGACAACCGCACGATGCGAGTTGAGGACTATGTAGAGGGAGTCGAGGCGTACTTTCGCCTAGAGAAGGATGGGAAGGTGGAGAAAGTCCTCCATTCCCTGACTCTCCTCGTACAAGATGACCTTCCTTTCGATGTGGTTTTAGGAATGGATTGGGGAGAGGCAGCCGGGGCCACACTCCATTTGAGAGAGCATGAGTGTAGGCTCCCTAGTCCGTCAGGCGAGGTTAAGACTGCCCGCCTGTTTCATGTGTCGGGTGTGGATAACACCTTGGCACATTGTTGTCTCAGTGCTCCTGCGTTTGCGCGATTAGTGAGGAAGGAGCAGTTAGAGGAACAGGTCTTTGTAGTTTATGTTAGACCTGTCACTGAGGCCCAGGAAAAGGATTGTTCCACAGATCCAACAATTGCCAAGCTGCTGGAAGAGTTCAAAGATTTGACTGAGTCGTCGATAGGAGTAGTGCCGCGACCCATCCAGCACAGGATAGAGATAGAGCCTGGCAGTAGAACTCCTAAGGGTGCAGTCTACAGGATGTCCCCTAGAGAGTTAGAGGAGCTTCGCAAGCATTTAGACGAACTCCTTGAGAAGGGTTGGATCAGGCCCAGTTCGTCTCCTTTTGGAGCACCAGTCTTGTTTGTCCCAAAGAAGGAAGGAGAGCTTCGTATGTGCATAGACTATAGGGGTTTGAATGCGATCACTGTGAAGAATGCTGAACCGCTGCCCAGGATAGACAATCTTTTAGATCGGGGCAGGGTTGTAAGTACTTCTCCAAGATAGACTTGATGTTCGGATACCATCAGATAGAAGTCCATCCTGATGATCAGTATAAGACTGCATTCCGCACTAGATATGGGCACTATGAGTTTATAATGATGCCCTTTGGACTAACCAACGCGCCAGCCACTTTTCAGCGTTGTATGAATGACCTGTTTAGACCATGGTTAGATAAGTTTGTAGTAGTCTACCTAGACGATATCCTAGTTTTTAGGAAGACCCTCCAGGAGCATCAGGGTCATCTGAGGCAGGTCTTGGAGAAGCTTAGAGAAGCTAACTTCAAGATCAACGCGAAGAAGTGTGAGTGGGCCAAGACGCAAGTTTTGTACTTGGGCCACGTATTAGACGGAGATGGCATCAAGCCAGAGGACAGCAAGATCGCGGCGATTAGAGATTGGCCGACGCCCCGCACATTGACAGAGTTGCGGTCGTTTCTAGGCTTAGCTAACTACTATAGGAAGTTCGTGAGGAACTTCTCCACTATCGCCGCTCCCTTGCGCCGATTGCTGAAGAAAGAGGCAATCTGGCAATGGGACAAAGACTGTACGTTTGCGCTCAAGAAGCTAAAGCGCGCGTTAATAGAGTATCCTGTCCTCAAAGTTGCAGATCCGTCTTTGCCATTTGTCGTCACCACGGACGCAAGTCAGTATTGGATAGGCGCCGTGTTGCAGCAAGACGACGGCAATGGCTATAGACCCGTAGAGCTCATGGCAGCGAGGATGCCTTGTGAAAAGGTTGCTGCCTCCACGTACGAGAGAAAACTCTACGCTCTCAGGCAGGCTTTAGATCATTGGAAGCACTACGTGCTTGGGAGGCACTTCAAAGTGTATTCGGACCACGAAACGCTTAGATGGTTAAAGACTCAGGCCAAGATGACACCTAAGTTGACTAGGTGGGCCGCAGAGATAGACCAATTCGACTTTGAGCTCAAGCCAGTGAAGGGCAAGTACAACGTAGTTGCGGATGCTCTGAGTAGGAGATCTGACTACTTTGGAGCTGTAGTACACTATGTGGATATAGGGAGAGACCTGCAGGAGAAAGTGAGGCAAGCATATGCGCAGGACCCTATCTATGGTGACCTCCTAAAGAGAGTTAGAGAGGCCCCAGAGACTGAACCAGATTACCGCACTACAGACAGGCTGTTGTTTGAGAAGACTAATGTGTTTGACCGCTTGTGCGTTCCCAACAGCGAAGAGATCTGCAGTTTGATTTTAGGGGAATGCCACGATACTGAAGGGCATTTCGGTTGGCAAAAGACATTAGCCAACCTGATGCGTGCGTATACCTGGCCAGGGATGAAGAATGACTGCATAGAGTATGTCCGCAGTTGTAAAGTGTGCCAGAGRAATAAGTCTACTACACGCACGTCCCTAGGTCTTCTCAGACCCTTGCCTATTCCGGATCAGCCGGGAGACTC